AATGCTGAAGGCTTTTCAAGACTAATCACGCTAATAGAACCCAAATCAAGCAACTCTCTGCAACAGGTTTGCTTGGCAGCGGAAAATATTCCGAATTTTAGGAACAGATAAAAGGTTTTCCTGTGTACAAACACAGTTCTGCGCAAAAACTGGCTCAACGGTCCAAAGTGTGCAAAATCACCTATTTTAATTATGAAACAGCTGCCAAGAGACTTTTAGCGGAAAATTAGAAAGAACATTGTCGCCGGTTTATATTTCGCGAAAAATGCCTGGGTAAAACATTAGTACTCGAATTAGCGTTACTTGTTTCCAGTTTCTCTACAGCGGTTTTTTTTTTGTTATTTTTCGTTTTTTTCACGACGACTTGCTAGTTTTTAATTAGTTTGTCCCCGCGCCCAGGAGCAGTTTGTATCTAATTTTCGCATTTATTCGAATACGAGTCGCGCATTAATTTTAATGTTCGTCTTCCTCTCCATTAGAGCAATATTTATGTTGGAGGATGCTTCCAAAAGGAGCCCAATTAGAACGCGCCTTCTCGTTCCTCGTATTATGAATTTGAAAAGTTTCCTCGAATTTGTGCCGGGATTAATTTCGTTTAAGAGCATGTTGAAATCCATGTTTAAGGGAAATTATTTACTGCTGCAGAAGTAGCTGGAGTTTGGCTCCGGCAAATTTCTCGAATATTCATCTGGTGATGGATGATGAAGTGTTTTTTTCCAGTTCAAATGCTGTGGCATTTTACAAGGTTTTTTTCTGTTGAAAATCCAAACAACGCTCTTCTTTGTGCAGCTGCTGGGGATAAGTTGATTTTTTCCGAAAGGAAATCAATCATTTTTCGACGTGGCGCACATCAATCGACGGCAAAAATGCACACACAAACACAATGAAGAGAACGGAAAAGCAGGCAGCAGGAAGCGCTTTTGCCGTATTATTTCGGTTTATCGCCGCCACTTTTCGAAATAATAATCATTTTGCGCGTTTGCATTCCTGGTTTTTCGAAACAAAAAATCGGGCCAAACCCGATTACGGCGCTAAGCGAAACACTCTGCTGCTCGCGTTTTGTAATCCTAACGGGCACATCGAACCAATTTTTCCATTGATTACAGGAATTCGGTGGAATTAAAAGTTGTTTTTCGGCTCTTGAAATTATTGTTTTCCAATCATACACAGTGGAAACTTGAGAATTAGCTGCGGCAAACATTACTGATGATAACTCCAGAAGCACGTGCTGAACAGCGTTATCGGAGACCGACGATTTTAACGAGATGTTCGTTAATCTTTCGCCGAAGATGGTTTAAGTTTACCGTCTTTTTCTGCAAGGGTTATGTAGAGCTTAATGTGAAACTTGGAGGTTTATGGCATGGACGGGCGCATTGATCAAATCAATTTCGCTGGAAAGGTTCAAAGAACACTGCCAACAGTATCTTATATTAATGGCAAATGCATTAGACCCCGACTGGAACGTATTACATGAATTGATGGTTGTCATTAAAACTCACTTTAGGAACCATTAAACCACAATTTCGATAAATATCCGTGTGTTGCGCGATGTGCAGCGTGTGTGGGTGAATAATTCAGTTAGAACAACTAGAAGTACGGGCCCAATTAGTTTGCTCGATCCGTATTACTTTCCATAATCCATAACTCCTTGTAAGTGGAAAGAAATTACTGGAAATTTCCGCTAAAATCGGTCGATCGGGAAATGGGGTTTTGAGGCGTCAGTGGGTTGTAAGACCGGAGAAAAGATTAACAAAGCTTGCAACATCGAGGGCAACGTGGGCGAAACTGCAATTAAATCGCGGGACCCCAAAGCCGTGACCAATCGCAACTTTCGAGTAGCGTTTTGGGAAAAATGAACGGGCAGCATTTCGGAAAATTCGCGCAATGCATTTAAGGGTTACGTACGTCCTCCACACATAAAGCGAAACGATTGCGAGGCGAAGTGCTTTGTTTGTTTTAAGTGGAACTTCCAGCGGTAAATGAAATTTGATTTCCGAACCAAAATGGAGCGCAACAGTGGTGTGGGGGATTTTCACCTTCGCATCAAGGTTTTGCGGCAAACGGTGGAAAAATCCGCTTGAAGCTGCTCTCAGACCGTCTCCCAAGTTGGCGTCGTAAAAACATCCTGCACTCTCAAATGCAGCTTTTTCATGCTTTTTCCCTCTCATTAAATTCCTGACGGCTCGAGTGGTGGTTGGCACATCTGACGGCACAGATTTTAATGAAGAAACGTCATCCCTCTTGCGGCCTGTTAATTTCCCGCCGCTGGGCCCTAAAGTTTTATTTTCCTTTTTTCCGGCTGTGGGGCGCGCAAGAACGCAATAATAATATTATTTGCAAAAGGTGTAGGCTCGGATTACGTTGCCTTCCGGAATGTGCCTAATAATTCGCAAAACGACGCTGTAGGGGGTGATTTTTGTCGCTTACTTTCGTATTGCGTTTAACCAGCAGCTTGGGTATGCGTACTTTGCCGTCGAAAAAAGAACCGACCACCGGAAAATGCGATTCATGTCACCCAAGAGCGTACGTTTCGCTTATGTGCTTTAACCAAGTGGCGCATAATTTTGCAAGTCCGTTTGTCTTTTTTGCACCCTTATGATCAATTGCATAGCGGAAAGAAAGTTGTTAATATTCTGGGTCGTCATCAGCTCAAGGGCGGATCCAAGGGGGGAGGGTCATGGGGTTTCTATTCTCCCATTCAATTCTCTATCTCACGATGCCAAAACGAATTCTGTGGCTCGAATAGTTCTTGAGAAACTTCGAAAAAAGCAGTGTCATCTAAAAAGGCCATTTACTGCTCTTTAGAATGATGTACAAATGAGCGTTCTTGCTCATTTTGCCTCCAAGATATGAGCAAAAAGGGGACGCAAAACATGAAATTTTGGCGTAATCTTGCACCTAAGTGTCTGATATTCAAATTTCGCTTTCTGTGTCAAAACTACTCGAATTTCCTCACTCATGTTGTTACGACTGAATCGAGTTTTCAATTCTCTATCCAACGATGCCGAAACGAATGTTGTGGCTCAAATGGTTCTTGAGAAACTTCGAAAAAAAGCAGCGTCATGTTGGAGTCGATTTTGCAACTCAAAAAAAACACGCAAATCTAAAACTTCTTGAATTCAAGCAATTTTTTGAGAAAACTGCAAAATTTCCTTATGGATGGTTCACTTTCTAAAAAGGCCGTTTAGTTCTCTTTGGAATGATGTAAAAACGAGCGTTCTTGCTCATTTTGCTTCCGAGAAACATGCAAAACGGGACGGAAACTTTGCAATAATCTTACGCCACCCTTGCACAAAACGACGATAATTTTCCGAATTTGATAGACAACAGAAGACTGTATTTTTTCTACATAATCTCTGAATTTAAAGCTGAATTCGCCCCTGCATCAGCTAGTGCTCGTCATCAGGGTTTAGCTTGCAAGAACAGGTTTGACACCGGTCCTGAGGGTGCTTATGTGTGTCACAACCCAAAAATCTTCGCAAGTCGACTTTTGATTCGATGACTCGATGTGAAGAGCTTAAAGTGATTGCACTAGAAAAACGTTGAGAAGAAACGGCAGAGAATCAAAGGAGAGTCAATTGTTGGGAAGCACTTCAAAAGAGTGTCTTAGTTTCATAATAATCGCAACATTAATTCTATAAAAATTGTTTAGTAAAAAGTCATATTTCCTGAATTATTAGCGTTTGATGAATCATCGGAGGTTTTAGTATAAAGAATCTGGACAATCGCTGTGTAACATTCGGAACACAGTCATACTAGTGAACTAGATATAGATTCCATAGGGGCTTTTTACAATATTCGTAGCAGCAGCTTTATTTGGAGCGTCGTTCGGTTGTCGCGCCATCGCGTCGCTCCATATTGGGTGTACTTCTTGAATTTGAAATAAACGTAAATGGAAATAATTGAATTCGCAGAATTTCAATTTATCCCCGAAACATGGTTATGCTGATCTGCCGTGAAGGCGGCATCTTATTGCCGGCGAAATTTTTCCCTCAACGAGCCGAAAATTTAATCCGCCCATTTTGACTCCATTGTTTTATTAGATTTTTCGGAAATCGACCCCGCGCTATGCAAAAGGAGCGACTGGAATCTGTTTATTGGCGTTTTCCTATTCCCATCTAAGGTTCCACCAGTCAATTTTATCCGCTTTGGGGGCCAGTGGCCAAGGAAGCTTGCCTCAATCAGCAACAAGTTATTAGGGATCAAACTCCTTAATGTACCTGAATGAATCAGTTTGAATTTTCCTGCAATGGAACGCACACAAACAAGTCAGCGGCAATTAAAAGACGGCGGAAAACTTAATTTGCCGCCGCCGTTACCGATTGGAAATAGTTATAAAAACTCCGGAAATGTTCCCGATTCGAGTT